GGGAAAAAAATGAAAAGAAGTGGGGGCTTCAAAAATAGTGCTAACGGGAGACAGATTTTTGACATGCTTCCCAAACCATCTGCTTTGGGTTAAAGAACAGAGACAGAGTCAAAAATGAAGGCGAGAGAACAGGACTTGAGACAATGGCAAGGCAGCAAGGGAAAAGTGAATGCAATCTTAGTAGGAAAACTTTATTTATTTTAATTGTGAGCACTTTTATTTTGAATCGTTATGGCTTCTCATGCAAGGCAAGAGATATCTGCCTCGCCAATAGGTTGGTCTTGTTTTTACAGCTATTACAACAAAAACATTTCAACTGGCTCTCATGCTGGAAATTACAATATAGACAAATACACAGAGCGTCCAATCGTAGAGTTGCTGGAAATTTTACTTTTGGAAATTTTGAACATTCCATGTTGGGCTGTAGTTGGTACGAATTAAAATAAAATAAAATAAAATAAAATAAAATAAAATAAAATAAAATAAAATAAAATAAAATAAAATAAAATAAAATAATCATCACAAGTAGAATGATGGTGTTGCCAGGCTGCACTATTAGCTGCCGAAGGAGTTTCATGGTTGCTGCATCTTTGGTTTGCATGAGGCAGGGTGGTCATAGTGTGATTGTGCAAATGTTACAGTGGCTTGATGCCGAAGCTAAACTTAGCACAAAAAGTAAGGAAATTTGTGTTTGGTAGACTACTTGTTGTAACAATGCTTCTTGGCAATAAGTCTCTAAAGCCTATTAATTTACCTTGTAAATGGAGCCCCATGTGTAAGAAACGTATTTGTGGGATGAGCAGTAGAGCTCAATGTGGGTTGCGTACATGAAAAAATTGCGAAATTTTCTATTTTGCTGTTTAACTCTAGTTTTGAGCTTCTGGTACCCCCAGATGCTGCCAATCAGATGACAAGTACAAGATCTATTGCCAAGAAGCATTGTTACAACAAAGAAATAATYTACCAAACACAAATTTTATTACTTTTTGTGCTAACTATGGATGCCCACGTGTTATAAAGTTCCAGCTGTCTGAGACAAAAACAAGTAAGGGTTGTGGTCATWTATGTCAGGCTTAGAACCCTTATCTGCACATGCCATCTGGATACAGGTACTGGACTCTTCCCCATTTCATTTCGTACTATATGTCTAGGACTGGCATCAGTTCAGTTGGACTTTTGGTTCAGCATCAAATGTGTCACTAGTAATGATGTGACAAAGGGAAGTCCAATCTGCCAACTCTTTCAACTGTTTGATTTATTACTGTAATCACTGCAGTGACCTTTTGGTACGTGCTTCTGAATTGCATTTCCATCACTGCATGTGGGTGCTTACATTTTTTGTCTGTGAGTGTAAAATTTAAAAAATATTTCAATAATCTCAAAGGAAGGCAATTATGTAACCTTAGAGAAATACTGATTTTGCCACTCAATACTATTTCCAACTTACAGTAGCATAAARCTTATTTAATCTTACAATTGATTTGACACAATATAAAACATTAACACTGCTGAATTTGTTGATCCAGCMTTGCTCAGGGATCACCGCACCCCCAACCCCACCCCCGGTCTTCATTTCTGATTCTCTCATGTTTACTCCTCTCCCTAGTCTCTAAACAGTTCGGCTCCATCCACCCCTCTGTGCCATTCTACCAGTTCCCAGTGGGCACAGCCAGCCAGTCTGGCCTGGCTTGCCCCTTGCTGTGCCCCTGTGCAGGATAAGCTCCTGTCTGGACCTGGGGTAGAAGCCTTTGTATGGAGCTGTAGGAGTGTTAGTGTGCATCCTATGAGTGGGTGTATGCATGCATGTGTGTAGCATTCATRGCAAATGAGGAGAAGGGGCTTCAGTCTTTGCCTAAGGGAAGTCCAGCCCCCCTGGTGCACCCTCACATGCGCCCTATTGAAGCCTAAGGGAGTGTGAACAATCACTGCAGAACCAAAGAGCTAAGACCCCTTGTTATACAAGCCTAATTTTCAGCACCAGTCCCACCTTTCACCTCCATCATGTGGCCCAACCCCAGCCCAGAATCCTGGTCATCAGATGCTAACGAGCTTCATTAAAACGAGCCGGGACCTTTTTATTGCAGTTAGTTAATTAGCTGCCCCGCAGTAATCTACTATCCGGCACAACTTCTCACACTGCCTTCCTCTTCTCCTCATCATCACTTCTTTTGCTTACTTGCTCCACATCACCACTTTTTCCGGCTCTGTCCACTGGGCTCCCTCCTCTTTCCTCTCCTTGTCTTTATCTTCAGTAATTAGCCAGGGGAATGAGGGCCAACTTATTGCTGGRCTGCTGGGAGTATTAGTGCTTGAGACAAGGAGCAGGGGAAGTGCTCCTCCCTGCATGGGGCTTCTTTCGCAGCACAACACCCAAAGACCTGCGGAGGAAGACAATAGGAAGGGCCAGTTCTACAGTAGCCATCTCAGCCTTACTGTCCCTGCTACCCACTGAGTTCTGTCTACACTGGAACTCTAATTATTAACCAGATTATGACTGTGTGTGCCTACATGTCAGAGGGGTCAGCAGGAATTTACTCACAGGTCGCCAAACAGAWGACAAACTCTGTAGGCAAGTTTTTCACTGTGCATAGGTTTAAACAAGAAAGTGACCCAATATAACCTTAGAACATTATTGTGATAAAAATGTATATAATCCATAAAAAGATGACATTTGAAGACATTTAGACTTTATCTCTCATCACCAGGGAAAATGTAATTGTAGGACCATGTCTGGTATAATCAGGGTAAATGGACTGCACCTTCATRGCACCTTTCTATCCAACCAGGATACACAAAGCGCYWCACACTACAATCTGTGCCCTCATTTACCCATTCACACAGCACTCTACTAGATCTCTACAAAGCTAACATGTAYAAATCATCTATGGAGAYTAATCAGAGCTTTAAATCACATTCATACACTGATGGGACACACATCAGAGGCATTGGGGCTGAACTATSTTGTCCAAGGACACAACGACAGCTGGAATGGAATGGGGGATCGAACCGCCAACCTACCAATTCCAAGATGACTCCCCCAACCACTTCTCCACAGCCGCCCCAATCATCATCATCATCTAATTTGTCAGGACCATTMGCCTTTATGTGGACCAAAGTCAGGACCCACTACGATGGAATATCATTCATGRGTTAGTGGTTAAGTCCAAGGTGTGAGATGAGTTAGGCTTACAGTTTRTTTGTCATATACTTGTAAAGGTTAGGAAAAGAAATAAATGAAAGTCGATATATGGTCTTAAGGGGGAAATATCATGCAAAACCGACTTTTTAAACTGTTAAATATATTTAGTTTTGAGTCTCCAGGGGTGCAGAAAAGTTAGATTTAGTCTTTCCCTGTGCTTCGTAGATATTTTTATAATCTGTTTGGGTCRTATTTTTCAACCTGTTCAGTTTTCTTTATTTTCAGTGATGTTTTCTGAACTATCACATCACAGAATTTGTGACAGAATTGCCAAATAAGGTCTAGACTTATCAKCATTCTCCTCTGTCTCTGGGTCAGACTCTGGCTCCAACATGTAAGGCWGGATGGACAAGTCTTWCCCTTGTTGACACATCTTTTAATCTTTTGTGAATAAAAGTTTTTGTGCCTCTAGATAGTCATAAAATCCTCTATCAAACTAGAATGAACCACTCTGGAAGTGGGAGTGKGGTGTGGTGTGTAGAGGMTCGTTWGGATTTAAAGAGAAAGCATAAAAAAAAGAGTTGATCTTAGACACAGCTCAGAAAATGGGTGGAAGAGGGGCTTAAATGTGAAAAAGAGGGATTTAAAAGCATGATTTGTCCCCTTTAATATGGATAGAAAGTAGTTTAAGTTTAAGTAGTTTAATTGAAAGACACATTTGTGATCACATCTATGTTTGTCCATTAGCAAAATAAGTCATGAACCAGTGGATGGATTTTAAGAAAGCACTCAGAAAAAAAACTGGATATGCATCTGCAACAGTTAAACCTTTGGGATGAATCTGTTACACCATTGTTTTTTAACCCTGGTCCTCAAGGCACACTGCCCTGCATGATGTTTCCCCGCTTCAACACAACTGATTTCAATTGGTGACTGATTGCAGTTCAGCAAAAGCCTGTTGATCATCTGAATCAGGTGTGTCAAAGCAGRGAAACCTCTAAAACATGCAGGGCAGTGTGCCTTGAGGAGCAGGGTTGAAAAAAACTGCGTTACATGATGGTTACCACAGTTAATCCATTTTAGCAAACACAAAAAGGACTACAACTCTGTGAGTTTCGCAAACATAAGATTTGGTGTAGTGGTTACTGAAAGTCATCTCCAACATGTACTGCTGGAGTAACCCTGTCTATTAGTAATTATTTTTATGAACCATTGGATAGATTTTAATAAAACGCCCAGAAAATGGTAACACTTTATTTGAATGTGTGTACATACTGTATGACTGACCTGTCATGAACATGAATGAGGCTTCATGAATAATTGTGGCCGTTGTCATTAAGTGTCATTCTGTAAATTATGACACTTTAAAGGGATCCCTGATTAGTTGTAACAAAAGACTTTATTTGATAAATATATATTTTAACTGTAAAATAAAGACTGTAAAAACACTGTAGGCTGTTTAGTTTTGTAAATTTTTAAAAGTATATTTTAACACGGACGTAGCCATTTTACTTACATGCAAAGCATTCTGGGTAAATGATGACATGGATAGGTCCTTGGTGTGAGGCTGTTAGCGAGCTATATCCACCCTGAAGGTTAATCTTGGACAATATCTGATGATCGACTCTTTTAAATGAAACCAGAGAGCGTTGACAGAGAGGAGAAGGTAGAAATGACTCAGCCTGTAACTGAAAATATAGATGAGATAAGATAAGATGAGATAAGATAAGATAAGATAAGATAAGATAAGATAAGATAAGATAAGATAAGATAAG